AATCTCTTGCTTTACACAACTTCTAGGATTTAATGGTGAAAGAAACACTATCTTTTTACGTTTTTTGTGATTGTTAGATGTTTTATCATGTTATGAGACTCCTACCTTTATGATGAATTCATATCAAACAATTTCAACCTATTTTTGGAAATGCTACAGAACGTATGTATCTGTACTCTTTGAGTCGGCCAAATATATGTATAAGGTCGACACATTTTAAGCTATAATTTTTATTTATTTTTTTTGGCCGGCAAAAAAACAATAAATATTTTATAATTATAGACTAAAAATACCTAGCTTCATTTCAACAATTTCCAGACAATGAAAAAGATAATTTAAATGTAAGACAATTTTTTTTACCCATAAAAGACTAGATTTAACGATTGGATATAGGCTGGCTGTGCTTGCACGACCAGTAAATCCACTAGTATATATATATATATATATTATATACTTACGTCCCTGTTGAGTTTTTGCTGGGGGAAGGGCATCATTCACATTTCTCCAGCTAAATTTTTCATCCATCTAATAATGGAAAAGAGTATGAAAAATAGTACACGCTGCATTAATAAATAAATAAATAGCAAATGGAAGATAAAAAAAAATATAGTTACCAAGTTAATAAGGGATCGAAATAAAGACAAAAGAATGTCATAATATTTGAGTAAAATTCAAATTAAAGCTCGAGCTTACGCTTCAAGTGCAGTGTGTATTTCCACACACTCTTGCCAAAAGAAGAGCGATGGCGGGGGTTCTCTGTGAGTGTCAGCCAAAATTGCAAACAGGAAAAGTATTTGTTGTGTGTAGATATGTTAGGTTTTAAGACAGAAGGGGTGAGCACAAGTTTGGATCATTTTCTTTCCGGCCCTCCAACTTGTGTGATTTTATTGAACTTATATTTGTTCCTCAATAAAATGGTAAAAAATAATAGAAAAAATAAGTATATTACAATGTGTAATTAATACACACACATATGCACACGATTATGTGTAAAGTGAAAGAACCTGACATTAATTTATACACAGGAGTATCTATCGATTCAAAACTAATTTCTTGATTAAAATGTGTAAATAATTTAGTCACAGGTAACTTTCTTTCATTATTATTATTCTCCCACTTTTCACCTCTCTATTCTCTCTTCACTTTACCTTGTTCAAACCCTAAATTCCAAAAATCCTCCATCGCTGTTTCCACTCCATGGCTGGTAGCAAGGACAAATCCAAGAGCGTCACAAGCGGAGCAAGGAGAAGGGTTCTAAACAACCTCGGTACACAATCTCTGCGATTCTTACACATGATTCACCTCCGCCGGAATCTTCGCATCCTCAAGAGACTCAGATAGGTGTCTCTCACTCGCCGATAGGTACGTTGTAATATCCCGAGATATTATCAGTATAAATGGCATTTAATTCCGATATAGTAACGTTATCGTTTATTATTTTCGGAATTAATTAAGTTCAGTCGGAATTATCGAAATCTATTTTCGACGTATCGTTTACGTTCGAAATAATTTTGGTAATTAAGTATTATGTTTAATTAAATAATTAAACATAAATTGAGTGATTAATTAAATTTAATCACTAAGTTAGCCCTAATTAGTATTAAGGCCGTGAGCATCAAGTGTTAATTCTTCCCAATATTGTGTGCAAGCCGAAGCTTTCTTTCAACAAAGGGAACAATTTCTTCTCCTCAAATTAGCATAACACGTGGCATTGCAAGAAAGTAATGAGTCATCACTTGAATTTTAAGGATTGAACAAGTGTTAGAAGCCAAAAAGGCCACATCACAATAGCATCATCTCCATTTTAGCGTGCGGATATATAGAGGGGAGAATGGACAAAATTTCTCCATTTTTCCTTAGGGAAATCCGATCAGAATATCCCTCTTAAATATACTCCACAGCAACCAGTTTAAGTTCAAGTAAATTTCCCCATTTTCCAATTCAATCGCACGGCCAAAAGGGGAGGCTACCGCACGGCGCACGCAAGCAAGGAAAAAGCCACGTTTATTCCGAGTTCCGTCGAGCGATTGTCAAGGTATTTTCCTCCTCATGTTAGAAGCATGCTAGTAAAGTTATTTCAGAGTTAATCGTTCGAGTCTTATGTGAGAAATCGTAGCAAAACCGTACATAAGTTCATGTATGTTTAAGTGATTTTAACACCGAACAAAGTTCAATTCTCTCCGACAACTTTCGAACCCTGAGTATCTAAATGTTCAGTTTAGTCTAATTATTGCTTAATAGGATCAGATTGCTGAGGCAAAACGAAGTATGGGCAATGAAATGGCCCCCAGCCGTCGCTAATGCCTATCGCGCGGCCTCGGGTGGCCGTGAGCCACGCCTTGCTGTTTTTAGTAGAATTCATGTTTTAGCCGTGTGTTTGTATTTTAAATTTCCTCATGTTGATGACCTGGTCGAGTTGTTCAGTAGTTGTCAGATAATTTGTTTAGTTCGGCCGAGAAACGGCGTGTAGCCGTCGGCGGCGCACGGGCGCTCGCCGCGGCCATTGCATGTGCGATGGGTGTTTGCTGAACCTTCAAGTTGTGTTCGATCAGTTTATTCATGTTAAAATCAGTACAGTCTAATCGGTCGAGTTACTGGCCTTTTTGGTCGAGAGGCGGCCGAAGGCCGTAGGCCTCGCACGTAGCGAGTGCCAAGGCCGAGTGTTAAGTCCGATCAGC